AATCTCCCTAAAATCCACTGTAAAATGCCACTTCCCGGTCATTAAAACCCGCCAAAGTTTGGGGCGACCCCTCGGATTACCCAAATCCCACTTCACACTCCATTTCCCCCCGCTGTTCACTAACTAGCATCCAAATTTTATTCGGATTCGAGTGCCGGAAATTTGCGCGCAAAATGAAATTCGTTTTTTCCGAATTTAACAAATTTTTTTATTTTTCAGGGGATTTTTGACCCGATTCTCCGAAACAAAGTGCGTGAGAAGCGAAAGTAATGGAGAAGAAAGGGGATTAGAGGGCTCGGTTTGTTATATTAGGGGTCTTTTATTCGCGGCCTGATCGCGGGTTTGGAGGGTTGCGAGCGGGGATTTGTCGCGAGGAATGTGGGGTAAAGTAAGCTAAGATACGATTTTGTAAAAAATTTTTAAATTTTACATCGATAATCTAAACAGTCCGTACATGAATCCCTAGAAAATTTAGATCACAATTTGGGGCCAAGGTAGTACAGCCCCCCAGTCCAGTTTAGCCCCCCATGACCCAGTACAAACCCCCTCGTCCATTCTAAACCCCAAAATTTATTTCAAAGAATTGATCCAAGTTGTATGGTCCAGCACAAGCCCCCTAAGTTTTAGATGAAGCCCCCTCCGTTTTAGATAAAGCCCCCTACGTTTTAGATCAAACCCCCAACGTAATAGTGTGAAACGGGCAAAACAGTGGGGGTTTGAACTACCTTTCGTGGGGGGCTCAACTACCGAAGCCCCCACAATTTTCAAGAGCAGCCGAGATATTGGACTTTTTTTGAGAGAGGATGTAAAATTAGGAGAGCCGGCCAGACAAGCGACATTCTGAGCCTGTAACTCTTTAAATTTAGAAGGGGAAAGTTAGATTTTTTCTTCAAGAAAAATTGAGCATCCTTTTTCTAACATAACCCAAAATTTTTGCATATAATCCTGCTTTAATGGCCCGTGACTCGAGGGTTTTGAAGAATTATGATGAGCCAATAGCTACGCTAATTTTTGATCGAAAGTGCATAATCTTTGAGATAATACCACGCCCTTACTTCGCACTGTGCATTCAGTATATAATCAGCCATTTTTGGCCTTTGTTGATTATACTTGAGCAAGTTGTTAGGCAGTAAATTCTCTAATCTTCTATTGAAAGTTTTTGTCATAATCAAAACTTCTTATCAGCGTTTGTCAACAAAGTGCTAAATACTTCCTCGACTTGACTTTTTCCTACATTTAAAAATGGTCAGACTCCGTCGTTATTGTTTTTCTTACATGCAGTGAAGCAGAAGTTTTCACTTACATGTAATGGACCAAAAATGAGATTTTTTATTCGAATTTTTTTATACGCAAAAAAAATTTTTTTGAAAAATTAGAATTATTAGGTTAGTTCTAATCATAAAAATTTATATGCTGGCTCATTACACTCACATTTATTTCATTACATATTCAATCTTTTACATTTTCATTTCAATAACTCTCCAGACGATACTTCCTAAAAAACGACAGGAAAGGTCAGAAAACTTACACTTAAAGGGCGAGTTGAGGAGTACAAAAATCTTTGAATGTATTCAAAATCTCAAGTGGGGCTAGTTAAGAAAAGTCCGCTATTTAATGAACTCGAGTTTGACCGAAGGCCGATATTAATGGGGCGTTTTCGAGGGGGGTAAAATTGACGATGGAGAACATCGTTTTTAGAGTTTGCTCTGGGATTTGCATAGATTAAAAGTTCGTATTTTACCAATCGTAAAAAAGTTGTTTTTTGTGAGAAAATTTTGTGATTTATTTTAAAGATTTTTTCAAGTTCAAAATTGCAAAAAAAAATGCAAAATTTTTACTAATTTTTGATCAAAAATCTCAAAATATTTTGTGATCTAAATTTAAAAAATCCATTCTAAGTTTGTCCCAAGTTTCATCAAAATTTTCAAATTGTATATTTGAGTTCCAATAACAGTTTCAACATTTGATTTCCAACTCCTTCCTCGTACCCCCCTCCTTCTCCTTTCCACCCCCGAAATTTTCGTTTTGTTTTAAACCCAAACCCATCAAGAATCTGTGCATCTGACAGCTAGGTATTTTAATGAGCGTCACGCTTTCATTTGTCAGAACTTTTTCTTCCGAAAAAACTTCTTTTTTACCTTCAAGGACGCCCCGAAATTATGTCAAATGACCTTTTCCCGACGTTATGTCCGTATTTTTCATCCCCTAATTTCGGTGTTTTTTGAATATTTTTTGGAATGCGGGGGTTTCCGACAAATTTAAAGGGATCGTTTTATTTTTGGGGGGTTCAAGGTTGTAGTTTTACAAGAGATTTCTGTCGGACAAAACGAGAAATTAAGGGTGCTTGTAGGGGATTTTTCAAAGGGGAATTGGTCAAGTTGAGGGGCTCGATTTTTTAAAATTTTTGACCGGTTGATCTTGCTGACCCATTTAACAAATCCTAAAAAATTTGGTGCTTGGTTTGCATTGTTACCCGAGATATTGATCGTTTTTCCGTTTTTCAGGCCCGGTATCAAAAAAAATTTTTTTGCCTAGCTAACTCTCCCATTTTAACGTTACAACTGGCTAAAAGGTCGTTGAGTATCTCGACTGTCCCTTCAAAGTCAAAGCTAAAATTTTCAGCGATTAGAATGTGGCCTTTTCAGAGTGCATACGAAAAAATGATGAAAATTGAAGCGGCACACTTAGGGCATTTTCATTATGAATTTAAAATTTTGTAGTTGGCACGTGGAGGCTTGTCATCCTCAAAATTTTTATTCCAATCCTTCAACCTTCCTTCAATGCCCTTACTTTCCAATTTCAACGCTCTCAGCCCTCGGAGAATCAGAAGTCTTCCCATTAAACGAGCCATTATATAACCATCCCCTCCCGATTTACAATCCCCTCATTTCAGGCCGATCTCCCCCTGCATTTCGCTCTTCCATTTTCCGTAAAATTTACGACATTCAGAGGTCGTAAAACGAGGAGACGCTGGAATCTTTTCTTTCGAATGTTTGGCTCGTTTACTGCTTTTGTTTTTTCGAATTTTTTGGTGAACACGGAGGCAGTCTTCCGGCTTTTTTCGCTCCAAAGAGAGATCCTATTTTTTTTGTTTTTATTCTCTCTCTCACACTGTCTCACTGTCTTTATACTTTTACAGAGTAGTCGCCGTTTTCGGGGGTTTTCAAAGACTTTTTTTCTGGATTTCCCGGATCTTAAGACGTGTCTGAAATGGTCGTCTTTGGAAGGTCATACTTTTGCCAAGGGAAAAGTTTGTCTTTAGTGTAAATTAAAGTCCAAATAGGATGTTTTAAAGTATACTACGGAACAAAAAATTTGCCAAAAATAGCGCTACCGGGTGAGCAATCGATGAAATTTTTTCGAGTGTTTTCATATCAAAAGTAATAATTTTGATATTTTTACCTCAAAAATCTATGTACGAAAACGCTAAGTGGATAGCTACGGGTGCAAAGAAATTACTGAGTAATCGATTATTCTTAAATTTCCCCAATTTATGATAAGTTTATAACATCTAAAGTCCTTCTTCCCTCTATTTGCACTAAAACAATATCAGACCCCATTGTAATGTCCGACCACACCTAAAACGGCCGCGACCAACCCTTTTCGTCGCTCCTCTGAACTTGTGCATGTTATTATTCATGTACGCACTCATTTGCCCTACGGGGAAATGCGTCAAAAAGACGTGTTTTTCGCGACTTTGTCATTTAAACTTTCATTTCTGAAATCGGATATAAAAATAGGAATTTGATGTCATGCGTGTGTCTGCGGTTAATTACGAGTCATTTACCCGCTGTTTGTCTGCGTTATTTACTCGGTAAACATGGGAACTTTCTCAGTTTTGGTTGAAAAGGTTATATCATATAGTGGTTACTGGGAGGGAAATGTAGATGGGCGCAGGTTGATGGCGCAATGGCAGAAATTTTGAAGGATTATTTGGGGATAAGAAACAGTAAAAAATTGTTCATTTTGGCGATACAGCCCTTTTGCTAAGTCGTTTTGCTATGTCAGCATTTTATATTACATAGTTAATTGCTTGCGGGGCGATGCCTAGATTATCTTGAAATTTGGCACGTATGCTTTGATAAGGCCATGTTTCAATTTCTAAAAGTTTTAGCTTGCGTGTTGTATGCGCCGCCGACGTTTTCGACAACGAAAGTCCCAAATGTTTTAAACTTTCAACTAACTTCACCCTAAAAAACTAGTAGCGAAGCCCTTTTTTAACTAATGTTTTTTGTTAAGCCAAATTTCCCTAAAATATCTCTTTTCAAGTCTTCCCGAAAATCTCTATCCCCTGTTATCCACCACTTTTAAATCTCTCCGATCTCTTAATCTTTTACACTCTTATATGAAATACGCCGCTGGCACGTTTTTCTTCTACAATGTTTGTGCGTAACCGCCCTTCTTGAATGCGTAGATGCCTACCACGAACGCTTGAAAGGTTGTTATTACTATATTCCATTACTTGTGAATACCAAATTACACTTTAAGGAGGTCAACACGGAACCCAAAACGTTGTTATTACAATAAAATTATACCTTTACTCACCTTTTATCTAATTTTTTACCTTCATCTTGTTAGAGAACGGTTGCCAGCAACTGGAGTGCAGTCGGTGTCCCGATGATTATTTAGTATTAAGTTAAGTGTCCGTTCACTAAAGAGTTTTTGGCTGGTGTTTATCGAATATGCATTAGTTCTGAGAATAATATTTACGTGAATGATATCTGTGGAGAGCGGAGTCGAGAAAGGGAGTTTAATAAAGTGGCCGGACAGGGATTTATTGTGCAATCTGTTTGATAAATTGCATTCGCTTTTGTTAAGTAATCTTTGGTAAAAACAGTCTTCCTTTACATCTGCTCTTAAAATCACCGCGACCTTTTCCGTTTCAATGTCCTTTGAATAATTGATTTACCTTTACACAAATTACACTTTCAGAGATTGGGTTCAACCATTTTTTGCTCCGAAAGCTCCACTCGTTCGGTGGTAGGGCATCCTGAACTGCTATGGCCAAGAATGGCGGCCCATCCACGGCCGAAGAGCAGATAAACCTCAAGTTGATCTTGGTCAGCGGCCGAACCCACGAATTCCACTTTGCACCGTCCACCTCAGCCACAGATATTTGTCAGCACGTATTCGAGAATTGGCCTGAGGGTAGGGATTTTTGGATTTCGCCAGTTTTGAGTTTAGATATCGACTATCTCGAAACTAAAGTCCAAATTTTATGAAAAAGAACTTTGAAATTCAAGTATAACATAAATTTGATTTCAGACTGGAAAGACGAAGCCGTCGCGTCCTCAGCTCTTCTCAAATTAATCTACCACGGTCGCTTTCTTCATGGTAGTGTAACGTTAAATGCCTTAAGCCTACCTCCCGGTAAAACGACGGTCATGCATTTGGTGACACGGGAAAACCTTCCGGAACCAAATTCGAATGGTAAGAATTTTGACTATAATAGTGCCGCGGCTTGCTAATACACAAGCCTGTCAAGGGTATCTATCAAAGGCTTGTTTTCCTTATTCTATGCACTAACAAGGGAATGGACTTTATGTGTAAATCGATTTTGACTTGGGACATAGTCAGATCGAAAGGTGTGTGGTAGTCGATTATTCACTTGGGGGGAAATCTCTGCGCGGGGCTTCAAAGCCGAGAAAATCGGCTTCAAAGTTTGGACGAAAATCAAAGGAAAAGGATAGGGATCCCGGAAAAGGAGCCATAAAAAGTGTGAAGCAGTGGCCGAGTGGTCAGTGCGCTCGCTTTTTGCGCAAAAGGTCGCAAGTTCGAATCTGCTTCCATTCATAACTTTTTTAAACAAAAACTTCTATTAATTTTTTCCCCTTGAACTCGATTATCGATGCAAGAAGTATATTTTAAACGGAACCTTTCCATTTTCAACGGCTTTGCACCTTCCCTTTACAGTTTTAGACCGCAGAGCACAACATCAACCTGATGTATTCAAAAACAACTTTCCACTTTTTTAAATGTACAGCCGGATTAGCACGAAGAAAGCAGAAGTAAAAAACGATAATAATGATTTGAGCTTGGAAACACTCGAACCTGCAACCTTTTGCGCAAAAAGCGAGCGCACTGACCACTCGGCCACTGCTTCACACTTTTTATAGCGCCTTTTCCGGGATCCCTATCCTTCGGTTTTCGTCTAAACTTTGAAGCCGATTTTCTCGGCTTTGAAGCCCCGCGCAGAGATTTCCCCCCAAGTGAATAATCGACTACCATACACCTTTCGATCTGACTAGGTCCCAAGCCAAAATCGATTTACACATAAAGTCCATTCCCTTGTAAGCATTGTAAAATACGAGACAAGTTACTTCGTGCGCCCTTATAAAAGTAATCATTTTCAGACAGCACACGAAAATCGAAGACGACGGGTTGTTGCCGATGCACGATATGCTAATAAAGTCTCTCTTCCCCTCCCTTTCAGTCCCCCCTTACCCCCTTTTTCAGTCCCTCTCTCACATCGAGCGCCAAAAACAAGGGCACACTGTATATTATGCCGAATACTGTACATGTTTTCCTTTTCCCCACGTTTATCAGGCCCCAATAACAAAAACCATCTCGATATCTCCCTCTTTTTGTACTTACTCTGTATTATTCTCGACTCTGTATAATCCTTGTGTATAGCGAACGTATTTCTCTTCCCTTTCTTTCCATTGTTGTTTCGTGTAAAGTTTTTTTCTGATTTGGCAGTTAAATATGTGACAATTTATTGGAATAGGCATTATCATAAACATATTGAAACTGGAGAGGGTCGGATTATTTCGGATGGATTTGTCATAAGATTTTGTAAAATACGGATTTTTAAAATATCTTATTGCTTTCTGTGTCAGCGAAATTTTAAACTTTGAAATGCACTACCTCGATAAGCATTTTAGGTTTTTAACCGGGACAATTTCCCATTCGCCGTTGAGATATTCAACAGTCAAATTTTGAACTCAACGTATACCTCTGGCGTCAAAGTTTTTCAAAATAAACTCATAGCGATTCCATGTCGAACATACAAACTTTGGAGCCAAAGACTTCATCGTAAACACTTGCCGCCCTATAGATTCCGTTCTGGATAATCAACCACATTTCACACTCTAAACATCAATCTACATTCATCAACAGCCTGAATAGTCATTTTATTTTCAAAATAAATCTATATCTTTACATAAAATTGGACCCATTAGCAAGTAAAACATGAAAGCATCGTATAAAAAGCGGGAATAGATATGAAAAGCAGGTATGTTTGCCATCTAATGCGTTTTCTGAGTGTTGACTATATAAATTTATATTTTGCATTGAAAGATAAAAACAAAGAGAGGAAGACTTGACCCGGAATGCAAATCCAAATAAATCTGGGGGTATTTGGAGGTAATTTACATAACAAATACATGGTATCTGAGATATACAGCAACAAAATAGACTTCTAACAGCAATCTGGTTGGGAGAGGGGGCGGACAAGGAATTTTGATGATGAAATTGGCGATGGGAAAGACTTGGCGACAAAATTTCATCGATGAGTTTTATGAAAAAACAAATTTTTTGGGGAAAAATCGTTGATGAAAGTAAAAATCCATCGAAAAAACGTTGATGAAATTGAAAATCCATCGATGAAAATCCAAATTCATCGATGAAAAAACCCATTTTCATTATCAAATCCATCAACAAAACCAATTATTAATCATTATCCACCATCCTCTGAGCCCTGGGGACCTTGATTTTCGGCTCTCCCCTCAGGGCATTCTCCACATCCCGTCGGTAATTGTGCGGTTTGTCCACCCGATCCGGATCATTAACCACCGCCACCGCCTTCTGATACCATTCCTGCCCGTTCTGCCGCACATCGTTCGTCTTTTTGATCACAATGTCGTCTGGTTGGCCATAATTCGGCGGATTTGCCAACGGATCATAGCCAAGGACACTGAGCATTGGTGCTATCGCTGCCATATCTGCCACTACATCGTCCGGAATAGCACCAACCCACTTGGTAAGAGCGTCAATATTCACTGGCTTCACGATCTGATCGGTGGAACGTTCGGTCCTGGAAAAATTAAAAAAAAATTATATTGTAGTAGGTAAAAGTGATGAGAAAATAATTGAAAAAAAGGTCTAAGAAAAGAAAGTAAAGGTAACACTTACTTAGAAAGTGCTATTTTCTTGCCCACCAACATCTCATGATGTAACACTCGATCGTCCCATGGCAAATCCAAAAATTTGAGAATTTTCTTCATTTCCGCTTCTGGATGCAAGACTAATTGCTCGTACCATACCATCAAACATTTTTGTGGTCCAACCTGAAATCATGAAAATCGATTTTCAACTCGTATTTTACATTTTTACAACAGAAATTCCTCAATTCTCTCAAAATTGCCTACTACAATATAAAAAATTTCAAAATCTGCCTAAAAATAAAGCCCGATAAGCATCAAAACTCACATTCTGACACTGCTCGTACATCACACTGATCCCGGCGTTCCATCGCTCCAGGCATTGTCGGTAATTTGTCAGATCAAAGCCAGTAATAGTGACCTTCCGAGAAATGATCGAATGAACCGTTGCCCTTCCATCCCGAATCATCAGGATATACCTCGAGTTGGGGAAGATCTGAGACAGATATTCCGTGGATTTGAGTGTGAACGGGTCCTTATTACAGTACCTTCTGGCCGGTTGTCCATGCCCAGCTATCACCTGGATTATGAACGAAGAGATGGCCGAGTTGATGACCTCATCGTTGACTCCGGCTTCCTGAAGACGTTTCCACTCCTTTTCGCTCTTGATCCATGCGGAGCGAAGGCCTAGGATTCGTGGGATCACCCGGGTTTCTTCACCACTGAAAAAAGAGAGATAGATAATATAAAATTGATAGAAATAAAGGGAATCCTTGGGATCTTGCGGTCTAGAATAATGTAAAGAGGTCCGGGAGATAAAATTCGACTGATTTTGAGGGCATTTTAACTCAAAAATTGTCAAAATGTGCAGTTTTTTGCAATTTTTACGTTTTTCGAGTTGCGCCCGAGGATAAGACGGAAAGTTGCGCAAGAGATGCTGCAAATGGTCTCCATTGGTGGAGAAGCGGCCTGTCGCATTATTTTTGTCAAAAATTGTTATGAAAACTACAAGATTTTACCAAAAAATTATATTAATTTAGCCTGGAATCACTCACCATCGAACCTCATCATGTGCGTCCAACATGGCCCTCATCAACGTCGTCCCACTCCTCGGGATCCCACCAATGAATATCAGAGGCGATGACACATTCACCCTTCCATCCTTGCTCTGAATCAACGGCAAACTTTCTTCATTCTTCCTGTAGGCCAAGTTACTGATCGAGGGGCCTTCAAAGTTGAGGCCGGCCAAGTAGACAATCGCCAAGGTGCTGAGGACGCCGGCCAGGAAGGGACGGAGTCGGAAGCCGAGTCCAGCCATCCGCAGCACCGGCTGGACCGGCCTAGCCAAACGTCGGAAAACTGCCGCGAGCACTCGGAACGGCCGACCCGGGTCCGGCCCGTGGATCACAGCTGGAATTCGAACGGGATAAGCGATGGACGGCATGGTTTAGAGTAAAAAATGGGGAAATGAAACGAAAAGAAACGAAAATGAGAAAATAATATTTTTTTGTTCAATTTACGCAAATTTTTTGCCAACTTTTAAAAATACGCAAATTTAAACATTAAAAAAAATTTAAATGGTCAATAAAAAATCACTTTACCAATGTATTGAATACATAGCTATGCATAGTAAACTTTTTGAATATTTGATAATTTTATGCAAATTTTTCAAATTTTTTAAATATGCAAATTTTTGCTGAAGAAATTAGATTATGATAAAAAATTGAGATCGTCGTATTTAACCATGGGTTTAAAAAAAATTAAATCAGAATTTTCATCAAAATTGCAAAAAAAAAAAATTATTTGAAAATTTAAATATTAAAAATTAAAAATTTTAATCTTAAAAAGATAAACTGATGAACAAAACTAACTAAAAAATGTTTTGGACATACGTCAGCTCGAAAATTACTTACAAAATAATAAAAAAATTTAAATTTGCCCAAAATTACGTCAATTTCCTGTTTAAAATCGCAATTGCTCCCCAAAACTCTCACCAAAACAAGGAAACAAAATACCACGAGATACTCTCTTTGCCCTGAGGGCGAGAAGAAACCAACGCATCAGAAAGCCGCTTATTAAAGGGGCTTAGAATTGGACACTTTCGGAAAAAGTTAATTGGCGACCGAACCGAAATTTTTAATTGTACTTTACAATTACTGGTTTAAAAAATATCTGCAATACTATCTACGTGAGTGGAACGGTTCTGAAATTAAGATACAATTAGATTTACAAATTTTGGGCTTCAGAAAAATTAGATGTAGATACGGAAAAATTGTAGGTAAAAATATTTCCTAAGCGCGAGAAAAGTAAAAAAAGTAACACTTGGAAGTTAGGATTGTAAGAAAGAGTCATGCGGAAAACAAAAAAGGACCTAATTAGCCACAATGACGACCAAAGAGCGGGATTTTAAAGGAGGCTTTTAAAAGAGAATGAGCTCCTTGTTATTCTACTCGAATATTTAGGTCCTTATTGAGTTCTAAGGAAAATATTTTGGGTCTAAGTTGTATATAGACCCCGAAAATAGCTGTGTATGGTATGAGGAAAGGATTTCCCCTTATTTCACAGGAGAAAAATCTGTTAAAAATCCTTTGAAAATACTCAAAGCTACAAAAACGCATGTAAATTTGAGAATAAAGTTATTTTTCCGCCACAAGCGCCATAAGTTCTGCCCATTTCTCATCTCCAATTACAGTGCCGCATATCCCAGCCAACCCAATTACCCCGCCCTTACCCCACCTCCGCAGTAATAAACAAGTTTTCCGGGGGACCAAACCGCCGGCGGCACTCCATCCGAATTTCAGCGGCGCTGAAATTCGATTTTTCGGGTCAATGGCTGGGAACGAACTCTTCAAGACTTCCGAATTATACCCACTTTTTACGCGCCCAGGTTAAGGACCCTGCGGGGAAATTGTGGGCGATTTAAAGATCAGCCTTCCTTCCGTTCTTGGGGCTGTTTTTGGAGAGAGAGCGGCGTTAGAGAAACCGAGGTAGACAATGGGGGATTTACGTCGTTTGGGAAGTAATGACCTTTCAAGAACTCGAAAAAATTACTCGGTTAATGTTTGTACGAGCAGCAGTGCAATTGGGCAAGGTTACCGGTCGAAATTTATATGGTAATAGACAATGGCGAAAGTCGTTTTTAGAGGAAATAAATGGGGTCTTTATGAAAAAAATATGTTTACAATAAGTTGCGTTACATCATTTTTTGTGATAAGGGAATTAAAAATACCCAGAAATACGTTAAAAGTGAGAGATATAAGGAAGGAAGCAATTTTTGAACGCCTATCTTCGGAGAGACAGGCAATTTTAACCAAACTTCAAACGTCATCCAATGGTGATGAGCAATTTTCAATGGGAAATATTAGAAATGATGATTAGATGTGATAAAGATCCCGCTTAAAAAAGACATAACTACTAAGCACAGATTTGAATTTTGCAAGTAAATTATGACTACACATGTAAGTTAAAATCTTATCCAGCGATTTGCAAGATCAGCCGAAACACTTGACGATCATTGCAGGCAAGAGACTATGGAAAATGAGGAGAGACGGTTATACAAAAACGTGTTTCGGTCATCATTTTGAAGATTGCTGAGAGAAAGGAAGCTTTCTATACTGGTTGACATTCTTTCCACCTGGATCTCGGGAACTGCTGGGCCTAGAACCTTGAAATTGTGCACAGAAACACTGTGAAACAGTCTAACACCATACCCAAAAAATCGTATCATTTGATGCACCTTACATGCCCTTTTTTGAAAAAGGCAAAAACCCGGATGACAAAATTTTTTTCCACCTTGGAAAAAACGTTTGTAACTCATAAGCCAGAGGGCGTTAAGGCATAATTGTGGTATCGTTGTGATTTCGAAGAACTCCTCTCTCGAAGTATGCATATACCTTACGATTAAAATGACAGTGAGATATGCAAAGAGCGGCCTAAAGTCCTCGTATATGCCTTATTGTTAAAAAATTCTACTCCAAACTCATCCCAATTCTCATCAAAATCTGGCCCATTCGTCATTAATAATTTCACAAAAAACGTGGTTATCAACTCCAAATTTACCATACAAAATTTTAATTTCAACCTCATTTTTTGCGGACGTGGTATACATGTACACATACCTCCGTATCTTTCCTTGTATTTATCCCAAAATTTTTTCCCCAACCGCCCCCAAAATACCCAAAAGACGAACCATTTCCAATTGTGAATTTGATTCTCCTTTCGCGAAACATCCGCGAGAATTGGCTTATGAATAATAAGAGGACACGGCTGAGGGGAATAGAAAATTCAGAAAAAGTACAAAGTTTAGGGCAGAATGGGGCGATGGAATTGGCTATGGCGGATCAGGGGGATTTAAAAAAAGGGGATTCAGAATGGGAGTTCGTTTTGAGTATAAAATGGAGTAGAATGGAAAGGTTGTTGGAATAATTGGATGGGAAAACATTAGAGGAGGGAAATTTCAATGAAATTTTGAGCAATAATTTTTTTAAAGATAGGGAAAACTAAAATTAAAACTGAATATTATGTAGTATGATTTACATCAGGGTAAAATACGCACTTGAGAGCTCCTCCTCATTGTTTCCTTACATACTCTAGATATGCCACATGTCAATTTCTGAGAATTTTAGCCCACTTTTGCACACATCGCCGAGATTTCAAATTTTTGTGAGAGAGTCCATAAAGTGAGGAGAGTTGCTGACTTGTCAGACAAATATTTTTTGATCACAATTAGCAGAATATCGGTAAGAAAAAACTGATTTTTTAGTTGGAACTCTGACCTGTTTTTTTTGGACACAAGATTTTTTGAAGCTCAAAAAAAAGAATGGGGACCTGCGAGAAAGTTCAAAAGTTTTGCCAATTTTTGAACTAGAAATTTTCAATTTTTTTGATTCAAAATGCTACATACCAGATTTAATTTTTTTTTAAATTTTCTAACAAAAATTGAAGAGTAATATTTTGGGTTGCTTTCAAAATAAATATTAATAAACAAAGTAAAATACGGATTCTTCAATATTGAATAAATTCAAAAATCCTAACGCATCAAACACCTCCCTATCGAAATGATTATTATTATCCACACAAGGAAGAGAATTTTATCTTAAAAAATGGAGAAAACAGCCCGAAATTTGGTCACACGGACGATCCCTTATAGCAGAACCATGTTTGGGTTGCGAGAATAAAAACTTTCTTTTTTCTTGCCTCCGGCGTTGAAAAAAAGAAAGGCCTTGCAAGCTTGTTTCGCTAATCTAATATTTATGGGGGTTTTGATGATTTGTTCGGCCAGATTTCGGGTTTGGATGGGGGCGATGGCTGTGATTAGTCATGAATAATGTCGGACAAGGTTTTTTGGCGGTTTTTAGGGGATTCTTGAGGATAAAAAATTATAAAAATGTGGATTCAAGGGAGAAAAAAATTTTTGAAGAAAATAGGTGAGATGTGTTATACAAAAAGGTTATTTTATCAGGATATTTCCATTGAATTCCCGTAAAATTTGGCGCACATATTCTACATGAACTACGTATCAATTCTAGAAAATTCTAGCTCTCTGTTTGCAAGCCCCGCCAAGATATTCAAAGATGTTTGCCGATGAGAGACTATGGAACATTGTGAGAGATTGCAAGCGAAAAAATGGGGTTTGCTTGTATCTTTGCTAATATCGCGTGGAAAAAATAAATTGTTTTGGTTATCAAAGAGCAGGCTACAAATTGTTCAAATATCACAGGTAATTGTAAGCTTCTCTATGTCAATTTTCATCCAAAAATTGGCATAGGAAAGACAGTCGCACCTCTATATAATATCCTTTAAAAAAGCGGCCTCCTTTTGCCATATCTACAAACTGTACCACTATTTTTCAATCCCTCTTACCCAAGCTGTCGCAAGAAGTCATCAAAGACTCTTCTGAACCCTTGCTACAATCACTCTCATCAAAAAACCTCCAAAAAATGTCTTGTCAAAAGGGCATCCAAAAAAGAAGAGCCTCCAACCCGTCACCGTCGCCGTTGTATATCTTGATTTTTGCGTCTGTAAAATCCCCCAGACCCTGTGGAAAAGAGCGGAAACCTTCTTCAAGGTCACGGCTTTCCGAAATTTTGCAGTTCAGAACTTCCAAAAAAGGAAATTATTTTTCGAAATGGAACGGGGTCAATTTTTGGGGGATAATATTGGCAAGGTAAAAAAATTAGGGTAAAATACGCTTAAGAGAGGCCCTATGTAAAATTAATCACACAGTTCTCCAAAAAAAAATTTTAGTTACAGTAACCTGGTCAAAAATTTCATGGTAAAAAACCAGAGAAAATGATGTAAATATGCCTGTAAAAAATTTGATTTTCTTAAACATGTTACAGTAATCAAAAAAAATTCTGTTACCGTGTAGTCGACACAGAACATAGCCCATATCATCTCTGACTTGTACTTGATAACTCCATCAAAAAACGCTCAAAATTTCTT